TTGTCATGCTTTTAACTTTTATACAGCTGTATTAATTAAAAAATTTCTGATGATTATTTTTTTTTTTTTTTTTTTAAATGTTGAATCATGTATCATTTTATTAGAATATATTTGAACTACATAATAATCACAACTATTCTGTAAATGATACTCCCAGCTTCTGGCCAGTCTGATCAAATATTAGATATTATGTTACAAATAAATTAAGAATAAAATTAAATAGTAAAAGTAAATCAAAATAAAATACTATAAACTAAAAATTAAACCAAAATAAAATATTATAGATTAAACATTAAACCAAAATACCATACTATAAACCAAAATTAAACTAAAAAGAAAAATAAAATTTATAAATAATATTATAAATAAGAATAAAATTAAATGAGAATAATAAAAAATTAAAATTATTTATTTTTTTTTTTTTTTTTTTATAAAAAATATTACTTCAATAATTTTTTACTTATGTATAATGTAACCTTATTAAACTTCTTCTTTATTGGAATCCAATCTTCACATATGTATTTCTTTATAAAGATATTCATTAATTTCTTTACCAAAGGAATTGACTTTTGTATTCAATTTGCTTTTCTTGTTTATATATCTTTTGCTTTATTTGAAAGTTGATTTAAGTTGTCCTTTATTTTGGATTTTAAAGTAATTTTATCTGTTCAAATAATGCTTTTTCTCTTTTCTCATAAAATAATTTGTTCACATCTTGATTTTCATATTAATTCTTTAAATGCTAAAATGAACTGTATTAAAATATTGGCCATAAGTATTTGTGCCTTAGTAAGAGATATCTTAAAATCTTTTTGTAATTTTGTTGTTAAGAAAGTTTCAACTTTCATTTCCAATGCCAAGTGTTAGAACTTTTGGAATTTTTCTGACCTTGCTGTAACTTCTAATGTATCTTGTAATACATTTCTAATAAAATCTTCACCTTAACATTTAATTTGCTTTTGTTTTAAATATATAATTATAGATTCTTTTGTTGTAATTTTCAAAATTTTTTGCTAAGTCAATTCATAGATTTGGCATTCAAATAAGTGATTCCAATTTTCCTTCTTGTTACAATTCATAATACATTTCATCTCCTTATAAAGCTTTGGCTTTCTTAATGCTAGAATGGATTCTAAAGGAAGAATTTTATGAAATAGTTTTGCTATAAAAGTTCACAAATAGTTAATTTGCATACTAGTGCAGTGAAACCCTTTGCAATAATGGAAAATAAGCCAAATAATTTTCCAGTCTATCTAATTAACATTTGCATAACATAATTCCTGATTATTTTTTAGTAATGACCATTCAGTAGCTTTATATGTAGCTAATATTTTCTTTAATTAAATATTATAATTATAGATACTCAAAAATTATATAACTAAAAAAATATTTAACTAAAAAATAAATAATATATTAAACAAATATAAATAAATATTTAGCTAAAAAAGAATATTTAATTGAAAAAAATGAAAAATGTAATAATTTATAGTTTTACAATTTATTTAGTAGGTAAATTTAAATCTGCATTTCTGTGTAATGCTTAAATCTTGCACTTTATCATATGATTTATGTTTAAAATTTAATTGGCTAATTTTGAATTAAAAGTCTACCAATCTAATTCACAATCTTATTTTTTTATAACATTAAAAAAATGGTTTATTAATAGTCTTAAAAATTATTTATTTAATTATTTATATTAGCAGATTATAAATCAATTTTACTTTTTAAAAAGAAAATAATTAGAAATAAAAGGATCAAAATAAATAAAGAAATAAATGAAAGTTAAATGAAAAAACAAAAAGAAATGAAAAGAAATGAAATTAAACAAAAGTGGTGAAGAAAAATAAAAATGAGAAATGAAACAAAAATTTTAGTTGCATAAAAAGAAATAAAAAAGAAACAGAAATTGAATGAAACAGATGGTAAAAATGAAGCAGATGATAATAATAAAAATGAAATAAATGATGATGATGAGAATAAAACAGATGATGATGATAAAAAAGAAATAGATAATGATAAAAATGGAAATAATGAAAATGAGAAAATAATAAGAACAAAATGAATAAAGGGAATAAAAGAATGAAGGAAACAAAATAGATGAAAAAAATGAAACAGATAAAGGAATAAAATAAATAAAAAGAATGAAAATAAATAGAAATTAAATGAAAAAAAAAATGAAGGAAAATGAAAAATAAATGAAAAACAAAAACAAATAAAAAGAAATAAAGAGAAATGAAAACAAATGAGAAAGAAATAAAGAAAAATAATAATAAATGAAAAAGGGTTAAAGAGAAATGAAATAATGAAAAAAAATAATGGAAAATAAAAACAAATAAAAAGAATAAAAGAAATGAAAAAAAGAGAAAAAAATAAAGAATTACAGATATCAGAAAATTTTCTGGGATGCAGATCTGCACAGATTTTTAAAAATTATTTCTGCACAAATCTTATATTCTGGCATGATATTGCAAAGAATTTTTATAATTTCTGTGCAGAATTTCAAGAAAATAAAGTTTTGCAACAATCTTCAAAAATTAAATCTGTGTATTAATTCAAAATAATTAGTATAAATAATATAATACTTCAAATTTAATTAATATCAATTAATTTACTTAATTTATTTAATTTAGATATATTTATAAGTAATACTATTTATTAGTAAATATACTAAAATTAAACCTAATTTATTCTTTTCTCTACTATTTGTTGTTAATGGTTTAGACATTATTTCAGTTGGTTCAATTCCAACAGACAACTATTTAAATTTGCATTTAAGAAGTACCCAAAAATTTGTAGATTTACAAAAAGTAAAAAAGTAAAAATGTTCAGTTAGTTAATAATGTTTTATTAAGAAAAAAAATAAAATTTTAAAGAATTTTAAAGAATACTTTCAAAATTCTCTTTAGATATTATCCAAGAAGTTGTAAACCTACAAAAAAAGAGAAAAAGTTAGTTTTGATTTAAAAAAAATAAATTTATTAAAGAAAATAAATAAATTTTAAAGAACTTTGAAGAATACCTTTAAAGTTCTCTTTAAATATTATGCAAGAAGTACCAAACCTACAAAAAGAAAATATGTTTGTAAAGTTTTATTAAAAAACAAAAAAATAATTAAAGTTTTAAAAAGAAAAACAAACTTTTTAAAACTTATTATTCCAAAGATCCCAACTGATATCTACAAAATAAAAGTAAAATAAAATTAAAAAAAATAAAGTTTTAAAGTGAAATAAAACTTTAAAATTCACTTATCCAAAGCTCAAGAACTGAAGCTAATCTCTATAAATAAATTCTTAAAAGAAACAGAACTTCAAAACTTATTTATTACATGGAGGTGAAAAATTTTTGTAATGATACTGGAAAAGATGAAGGTGGAGGTTCAGCTTTTATATCAGGTCTTTTAATCACATGATTTACTTTTTATTAGTTAATTTTAGGGTTTCGATCCAGATCTGGTCGATCTGGATTCAAATCCGGATTCCCTTGTTTTTTGGACATCTGGATCTTACTTTTTTGTAACGGATGAATCCGTTTTTATTAATTTGAGCCAGCATTATAAATTTGGCCAGAGCTAGCAAATTTTGCAGACAGTTAATCTTTGACGTTTAATATTAATTCCGGTCAAAATTATAATTTTGGTCAGAGTTAAGGTCAAATTTAGAATCCGGATTCAATCCAGATTCGTAAGAGAAGATCCGGATTCTATCCGAATTGCTTAAAAAATAGGATCGAAACCCTAGTTAATTTATTATATATATAATTATTATATTTTTTATTGTAATTATGTAATACATTTTACATAATAAACTATGCATTTATTGTAATACAAATTTGGCAAAATTTCAAATTTATTTCTTTTAAAATTTCATATTATATATTACTAAATTCAAAAAATTGAAGCATTAAAAGATTATTTTATATTACTACTTACTTATTCTTCATTTAATTGAATTGTACGAAAACTTGTACTGCTTCTTGCTATAGAACTCTTTAAAATATATCTTTTACTTTGTTAAAGTTTGTATTTACCAATGGAATAAATACATATTCTATTTTTATTTTGCTATTTATTTCTGGTTTCATTTTAACTTTTTACCAGTCTACTTTAAAGAATGTATATTTGCTTATATTCAAATATATATTTAAGAATTGGAGAATATTTGCCACATATATTACAATATAAGCGCTAGTATAATTCCTGTGAAATTGAAGAACAATAATGATTATACTCTTGAATTTTAAGTTTATCATAATATTATAAAGTATGAATTGAATTAACAAAATACTCCAGAACTCCATTTATTTATAATAAAGGTCATCGTAGAAAATTGGCCTTTTACTAGTAGTTTTACCTTACTTTTTTCTTAAATTCTATTGGTTAATTAGCTAAAAAGGAAAAAAATCATAACAATGTAACATAAAATTTCCTTTTATAGTAAGATTTGCAAAGAATTTTATATATGATTTTTACCTTAGGCCTGGGAGTGATTTATCTTATAAGTAAGCAGAGTTTTGGACTTCTGATTATCCTTTTTTTTATAATTGAAGAAAGAAATCCATTATTTTCGTTTAAAAGAATTGCTGCATCTGTCACTCTATATTTACATTTCTTTATGTTTAATAAATAATGACATATCTGCATATAGTTTTCTATCTATTTTCATAATATTAGGGATTTATTATTAAACAGATTTTTTTTCTGATTGATATGGAATCTTTGCAACAGAAAGGTATGAAATTCAAAAAAAATTTTAATTTTACTTTATATGCTAATTATGTTTTTTTTACTGAAATAAATGCAAATTTAATATTAATTTAATTTTTGATATTTTTTGAGTTTTGTACCTTTCTATTGTAAAGACTTTATATATTCAACTATAATAGGTTTTTTGTTTATATTATCCCTTTCTTATATATCATAAAGCCTTTTTTCTAAATATGGGAACTAGTTTAGCAAAACAAGGGATTTGGTCTCAAAAAAAAATTTTTAAGTTTATATGATAATTATATGTCAATTTCACTAAAAATTACAATTATAATAATCTCTTAAAAAAAATTTTTTTGGTCCCAACCCCTTGTTTTGCTAGACAGGTCTCCATATTTAAAATTTTTTTGTACTAATTCTTCATCCACTACATTTTTTTGACTATTTAGATGTGATCCAAATTCTCTTATAGGTAAAGTAATACCAACAAGCTTTGCAAATAAAAAAGTCATCTTCTTTCTATTGGATTATATCATCGGCAAATTTAAAAAGTGTAAAACAATGCATTGTTCAATGTCAAATTTAATATAGTGCTGATCAACATAAAATCACGTTGTTCTGCGAAGGCAACAAGGATCAATGCGATTAATTTTATAGATCAACGTGATAACAATACGCAGATCATGTGATGAACAATGCACAAATCATAAGTTGTTTAGGATCGGTACTTTATTTAATTAATGTATTTAATTTATGTGCTAAATACTAAATAATTTATTTTCGCCTTTGTAGATATTAAATTTCATTAGCAATATTTTTTATTCTATTGAAATCACCATTTATTAATTAATTATTTCTTTCGCACAACTTTCTTGATCAACTTCGCTATCATTATTTTGATCGTCTTGATCATCTTCAAATAATTCTTTGCCTTTAAGCTAAGATTTAATCCATATTAGATTACAAAGTTATTAATGTTAGATTATCTAATAATTACAATTATGCTTACCCAGTCTTGTATAATAGGATTGGAATCCCATTGATTCATTCTTTCTTGCACTTTTGAAGACGAAATTTCAATTTGATCATAAGTTGGATCTAAAAACATCCATGCTACAGTAATTCCAAATTTGATATTATCTTTATTTTTCAACTCTTCTTCAGTAAATACCTTTTGCAGGATAGATTCAATAGTATATGGTGAATCTGGATTATCATCCATTTTATGTCAAAGGTCGTGTCTTGCTTTAATAACTTTTTCTGATTTTTTCCAATTTCTAACTTCTTCGGGTCCAGCAAATTAATCAAGTTTACAAGAAAATAAATTTAAATATATATAAATTGCATCTTTTATTTTTCGGACATAAGAACTCTTGTGATTTCAAAAGTATTCTAGCATCTGTATAGTGATGTATTTTAAAAAGAATGTAAATCAATAGTAAGTACAAAATTCCAAAAAAAGAATCACGAATTTAAAAAAATAAATCTTTAATTAATTACAATCAAATGTACTGCATTCCATAATTTAATCCATTCACTTGAATCATCAAGTTCCCGTATTTTTTTAGGATAATGAGCCTGAATTTGAGATTTGAAGGTTTGCTCTAAATCCGTATCCAGTGGAGTTTTATTTACTTGAAACAGTCGATGACATGCTTTTGTCATTGGAACCTAACAAAATAATTAAATAATCAATAAATCATAAAAAATCACAAAAAATCATGTACTAATAATGTTAGATACTAACATTCCACCACATATTCTTCGTGTCTTTCCTTTTTAAACGTTGTTTTGGTTTATCATCTTGCTGTTGTTCAGTCATTGTGATTAATGATGATATTGAACTTAATATTTTTTGCAGCAGTTCATGTTTCTCAAATATTTCATCTTTTAAAGTTTCAATTATTACGCATTGCTTTTGTTACTCTTCAAGAACTTTTTCAAGGACAGATTGATTGAATTTGAGATTTAAGTAATAAAAGTAAAAGTATAATACATATAAAGTAAATAACAATGTGATTAGTAAGATCCGTTAAGTTATTGTGTCATAATAGTAATGTTAATTTTAAAGGAACGTACACTTTGCCAATGAATCGTCAAATTCTTCCAGCCCTATAAAAAATATGTATACGGTTTTTATACTGTATATACGTATTTTTGATACAGTTTGCATTTTTACATACGGCATATCAGTATAATGTATACTGTTCGCAAAATGTGCTTAGTAAAAAATACAATAAAGTATACGGTAAACATACTGTGTGATACGGTATATTAAATTCATACGTCTATAACGTATATCATTTCTACTGTATATCAGTATTTTGT